ACACACACACACACACACATACACACACAGTGAGGTATTTGTTACGTCCATTCAATCTTTAAATTCTAATTAGACAACTTTCACTGCCTTTAAAGATTCAAATTTCATCAGCAAAATTTTGAAAGTCCAACATGATCTCCAATGACATTGGTCATGCACTAACACATATCGTTATATTTAGTCGTCATGTAGCTAGATGCAAGCACGAATGGCAGCTAAATACGGATATAAGCTACCAATCAAAACAATTTAAAAGAAATACCATAGAGGAATGTATCACATTTTTTACATTCTTTAGGAATACGTGGTTCATAAGACAACATGCTTTGGTGTATGAATTTATTTAGGTTATTCTAGCCTCCTCACCCCCCCCCATCTCTCTCTCTCTCTCTCTCTCTCTCTCTCTCTCTCTCTCTCTCTCTCTCTCTCTCTCTCTCTCTCTCTCTCTCTCTTTTCTGCATACCCCTCTCTTAATTTGGTTCCCCCCTGGCCCCTATCTCCCTCTCTCCTCGTTGTGTTCCTTTTCCATCCATCTACCTGAAATCCACGTATTCATCCATCCATCCACTCATCCATCTTTATATCTATATATTGTTAGTGGATTTGATTATTCCTAAAACTTTCAGCACTTGAATACAATTAGTATTATTGTGCGAGACGCGTAGTACCAGAAATATTTGGCACCCACCCATCGACATAACTTGCTCTGTTCCGCTCACTAAGATCCTCAGACTCGTGAAACAAAACTTTAACACATGCCAAAACAAAACTGAAGCATTCTCTGTAAAGACTTGTATTGAAAATGTGTTTTTTAAAGAATATAATAATCAACGCACTTCAACCGAACAAGAAGATAAACAACAACATGCCCAAAATAAAAACTGAAGCGCTATTTCCTTTCAATATGCATACACTTTGCAAACCCTACACATGGCGCTCATATGACCTTATGCAGTTGGGAGCGCCGTAAATCCCTCTACTATATTTAAAAAAAACCTACATCTAAAGAGTAAAGAAACATCTAAAAGTGTTTACGTCTTATATTACATGTGCATTATTTTATTACGCAGCTTCAATATTTGTACATGTCCAACAACGAATAATATGATACCCACAAATTAATCAAACAAATGAAGAGAGTGGTTGGGTTGATGGGTGCTCTATCTAGTGTGGTTTGCGCTTCTTTCCTATCAAACATTTATCGTCCTTATCTCTCCTCCTTCTTTTTTATGTTTTTCCTCTCTAGCAACACCTTTAATCTTAAGCACTTATATGACCTAATTGTACTGAAAGTGCCACGAAACTCTTACTGAAAAAACGTAAACAAAAACAGAGTGGATGGTTGTTGAGTGCTCTGGTGTGGTTCCTATCAAACATCCATTGTCTTTATCTCTTCTCTTTTTATGTTTGTTCCTCTCGTGTAACAACTACTGACCTTAATGAACTGCAATAAGTGCCGTGAAACTCTTACCAAAAAAAACGAAACAAAAATCCAAACAAAGAGTCAAATGGGTCATCAGGCAACAGACGGCTGCTAATTCCCCGCCACAACCGTTTATCCGACTACAACATTATAACACAGCGCCATTAACCGGGATCATAATTACCCGCGTACCTTTAACACCCGCATGCCAATGAAACAAGGTACGTAATTAACTCATTGAGAACACACGCTTTGGTCTTTCGACCATGCCAGGAGACGTCCTGTTTCGGGGGGACTTTAAAAACACCTTTCCGTTTTTCTTACATTATTTTTCTGCTCTGTTTTCTCTATTTTGAATTAAAAAGGCAGTCGACAGCGTGCACAATATTACAAAATATGACAATTCTTTTTTCTGTATTTCACTTGATGTATACTTGTTCGAGATTTGCAACAATATTCATTGGTTTTGGTCTGCTGTTGACCAGACATATTATTGTGTGTCCGCCACGCACTTATAGAGTTAAACGAAATCATAATAATGCATGTAATCATCGAGGTACATGTTCACAACCCGCATGCCAACAAACCAACGCGCGCATGGACAGTCTCCGAGGCATGAGCAACAAGAATCATGCATGATGCGGAATGGCTTACGTAGATAGAGCACTCGCTCGCCCGTGACGGGACAGGGGTAGCGCCTCATGTCCTTGCCCACCATAGACGGAGGTGAGCGGACAGCCCAGGGAAGTCGTGACGTCACCAGCTCTGTGTCAGACTCACCCAGCAACAACAACAACAACATGTAGCGCCTCTCTAACAAACACTGAGGAAGTCAATGTGTGGAAAAGTCGTGTCCTGATAGCTAATTTAAGAATTTACTTCGATGTCAGTCACAAAGATAGGTTTAATAAACACTTTTTTCGACGTTTCACAGCTAAATCAGTCAGATATCCCGCACACTCATCTCAAAACACACACTGACGAGGGCAATGTGTGGAAAAGTCGTGTCCTGATGGCTAATTTAAGAATTTAACACGATATCGGCCACCCTACCATAATAATTTTATGCCGAAGGCTCATGAAGTTGTCTCACTAACAAGGCAGTCCCCGATGTCCGGATTGAATGCTTTACTTTTTACTGCGATATCAATCACAGAGATAGGTATAATAAACACATTTTTTTCGCCGTTCTACTGCTAAACCAGCCACAGATATCCCACACAATCCTCTCTAAATACGAACTGAAGGCAATGTGTGGCAAAGTTGTATCTTGATAGCAGTTTTAGAAGGAGTGCTGTTATTTCTAGGAAATCAGTCGCAAAGATAGATATAATAAACACTTTTTTCTGACGTTCTAGTACTAAATCAGATACATAATATCATGTAACACTTTCTTGTCGAAAATGCGAACTGATGATAATGTGAAAGAATCGTTCCGTGACAGCTAATTTTAAGAAGAAGTGCTGGTTTTACTACAATATCAGTTAAACAGGTAAACAAAAAATACCCTTTTCGACGTTCTACTACTAAATCAGTCACATATATGTAACACTTTCTAATCAAAAAAGCAAACTGAAGATAATGTGAAAGAGGACTGGCTTTACTACGAAATCAGTTTCAGAAGGGTGAAATAACTAAAAAAGATTTGTTGACGTTTTAATACGAAAACAGTCACAAAGACAGGTGTCATAAACACCCGTGTCCGAGGTTTTACTATGAAATCAGTCACACAGGTAGGTAAAATAAACACCTATTTCGACGTTTTACTATAAAATCAATCACACAAATAGGTAAAATAAACAGCTTTTCCTACGTTGTACAACGAAATCCCTAGAACAAGTAGTTGGAATAATATAATCACTCTCCTCGACATTTTACTATGAAATCAGTCACACAGGTAAGTTAAACGATAATATAGATACTCTCTTCAAAGCTTTACCACATAATCAGTCACACCGTAAGTAAAATAACTGAAATTATCTTTTAGATGTACTCCTGCCAACTTCACTCTTTTACAAACTGCCTTTAAGTTATGGTTGATCTAAGGAACCATTAATTTCAGAAATCGAACACAAAGAGAGATTCACAAAAACTAAAAACACAAACTTCAGTTTTCTCGGTTTTTTATAAAGAAACACACGCTCGCTTTTGATAACAGATGCACAGTGCGTGATCAGAAAACGCCGCAGATAAGTCCTCCCGAAGTATGTAAACAGAAACACTCACTCTACTCTTCAGAGAAAGATGTATCGAGATGAATATTAGTATAATAAAAACATGCCAGTGAACGGCCTGTCCCTGTGTGGTGCGCCGGGGGAGCACGCAATAATAACGGGCGACTGTCTGTCCCACCACCACCACCACCTCCTCTCAGTCGGCGCGACGGAGAGCGACAAATACAAATGAGGGGAATATCGACCCGTGGCAGGCACAGTTGGGAGTTAATCTCCACTCGGTGTACACGGGCCACTTTCCAACAACAGCAGAAGACTTGACTCCTCCAGACACTCACACTCACAACAGTAGACTAAACTCCTCCAAACACACCCACACTCACAACAGTAGACTAGACTCCTCCACACACCCACACTCACACTCACACTCACAACAGTAGAAGACTTGACTCTTCCACATACTCACACTCACAACA